TGTAAAGCAAGCTAAGCTCGAAATAAGTTAAATTTAGAAATGTAATTTGAAAATCAATGTAAAGTTATGAAAAATACTGTTACGACAGCGGAAGTCACGCGACGCTGGGAGCATGCGCGCTGGAGTTTCTAGAAGTATCATGACTTATCGGGGAACCTCACGAATGTCCCAGTGTTTGCTAGACGCCCTCTTTTTTTAGTATATAAGCCAGAGATGAAGAGATATGCATAGACAGATAGATATAGAGATAGATAATCGTAAGTAAAGTGTGTGAATCGCTGTGAATTATAGCGTCTGTTTATAAAAGTAGTTAAGTTAAAGTGACTGTGTATTACAAAGTTGTATCGAGAAAGAATAAACCAGTTTTAATTATGAAAGGACTTGTATCGCTGAAGTTCCTCGGGAAGAATTTATACCGGAAATTAACAAACGAGCAGATACGTAACAATATATATAAATCCAGGGTAATAAATATTTCAATAAACAAAGGAATCACGAAAAAAAAACAAAAAAAATTAATTCCAAAATATTCCGTCGTATTTAAACTAGAAAATCACTAACCACGTCCAATAATACTGTTCAGCTGTGTCTCGTGAACTTGTTACAGCTCAAAGTACGGTTCTTATTCACTTGTTAGATCACGAGATTACAAATCGTTTGATCATAATTTACATAATCTATTACTACATTAATAATATCTGTAGGTCACCACTAGGGGAAACTGATCTCAGTTTAATAATAAATACATATTTACTCAAACTAAACGTGATCAACTGGAAATTGAGTTAGCGTTTTAAATGTAACTACAAATTCATAGATAAACTAAACAACAGAAGGAATAATAAATGTATGATAAACAAAACCAAAACCAAATAAAAACAGAATTTATTATCTCACAACTTTACGAATATTCTGCGCAAGAAAGTATTAAACATTCATTTTTTTACAGTTATTTAAATAAAAAATATGTTCATTACTAATATAAAATTTAACTCTTACAGGATTGGAAGGAAGCTGACCTTCTTCCTGTGCGTTTTTGTCACCCTGGTGAGCGGAATTGCTTCACTCTTCGTACCGAATTTCATAGCATTTCTTGTGCTCCGAATGGTCAATGGAGGGCTCTCACCAACGCTTTTCCAGTTACCATACATCTTGCGTAAGCTACGTTTCTTCCTGTCTTGTTTCTTTTCATTAGAAGCTAGAAGATCTTTCATCTAGGAACTTCTGAATAACCATACTGGTTCCGGATGGTTTGTTTGTTTTCCTGAACATCCACAAAAACGGCCAGGTCAGACACAGCCGTTCGTTATTTGGAAGTCCAGATCAGTTGATACCTCCGGATCATCAGTCCTATGCACTAACCGTTAGGCCACACTCAGGTTTCAATGGAGATGGCGAATGTAACATTTGTCATACAAAATATTAATCACTGATGTTACGTAACTTTTTGCTATAAAGTAACTATCTATATCCTACGATGTTATTTGTTCGTTTATTTCGTCATAAAAACTATATACGTCCATAATTGTTAAACTGATAGAGTAAAGAGAAGAAACCAACAATCTCCAACTCTTGGGCTACTCTAATCTAATAGTATTATTTGGCTACCAGTCTTATAATGTCCCCAAATGAGGAGTGCGATTTTGCGCAATAAGACGCGAAATGAGGACCATTGGATTCACAATCTGACACATTTATTAAAAGACCCCCCCTGCCCACTTGTTTGTTTTTGAATTTCGCGCAAAGCTATCTGCGCTAGCCGTCCCTAATTTAGCAGTGTAAGACTAGAGGGAAGGCAGCTAGTCATCACCACCCACTGCCAACTCTTGGGGTACTCTTTTACCAGCGAATAGTGGGATTGACTGTCACGTTATAACACCCCCATGGCTGAAAGGGCTAGCATGTTTGGTGTGACGGGGATTCGAACCCGCGACCCTCAGATTGCGAGTCGAGTGCCCTAATCATGTGGCCATGCCGGACCCCCCTGCCCACACATTGTTAACTTATAAAGGACACAATGATACCACTAAAGGTCATTTGGCCAAAACACTGACCACATATCTCTTCTTCCTTTACAACGATTTTGGACTTTGTTTGGTATTTTCAGATTTTATGATTGTCTTCTGTATCAGTGGTCATTAGTAAACAGTTTGTTTAAATTTGTTTCAGTGTTTGAAATAGTGGGAACAGACAAGCGTACAGAGATGATGACTATTGGTTCTATTGCTTGGACAGTAGGCCTGTGTACGCTTCCCCTCTTCGCCTACTTACTACGGAACTGGGTGTTGCTTGGATTGGTCACCACGTGTTTCTGTATTCCCTATTTCTTGTACTGGAGGTACGGTAATCAGGTTAAAAAAAATTTACTTTTTAAGTCTAGAACGAATTTATTCTTAAGCCTTGCTTCACTATTTGTATGCCTTTCACCAGATAAATGTAAATACAATACTAGCAGTAGATATAAATATAATAATTTTAAAACTAAGTCAAAACTCTATATTGCTAAGACGGCCCATCCCCTATTTCTACAATGATAGTGAAATTTTAACAACGCCATCTAGTGGCTAATTTGATAAAATGGAGGACACACCTTAACCCAGCTAGTCCTTCTTTCTCTGGTTAAAATTTCACTATCATTGTACGCCATCTAGTGGCTAATTTGATAAAATGGATGTCACACCTCAACCCAGCTAGTTTTTCTCTACAATGACTTTCACAACGTCACTAAAATATTCACGATCCTCTGTAGTTTTCCTTTGTTATATAGTTTGTTTCATACAATCAGGTACAATAAAATAATTTAACTTTGCCTGTCTAATCCCAGCTGCATGACAAGTTTTATACACACGCACAAGAATAAATATAGGCAGTGTAAGGGGAGGGGGACTTTCATATGTGTAGGTTTTAGTGTTAAATTTTTTTTTCGAATAATAAGTTTTTAAATTATGTTATTATAAAGTACTGTCGGTGTTGTTTCAAAAGCTAAACACCAAACTCCAAATGTTCGATCTTTCTGTTTTGTTTCTACGACAAGTTGACTGCAGCGGTATTAATATATAAATAATTAACTCAGATTACTGAACTGGAGTAACGTTATCACAACATGTAAGATAAATATACGAAAGACAGGTGTTGTTGTTATTAAATGTAAAATATAAGGTCAACATTTTTTTCAGGTTTCTACCAGAGTCTCCTCGTTGGCTTGTGTCCATGAAACGATATGACGAAGCAGTAGTTATTCTGACACGAATAGCCGAGAGAAATGGAAGTCCTGTACCTGATAATCTTGTAGAGAGGTTAAAGGTGAACATTAGATAGTGTGTTGTGTTCAAACTAAATCGTCCCGTGTTAAACACGACATCAATGTGTTAGGACTTTGTTGACAACGTACATTAGGACTGTGTTAACAACATACGTTAGGGCTACTAGAAGAATTACCCACCCTCCAGGCAGGTATAACTGCTAGTTCCTGAGGAAGGTTATTGGACTTGCAACCTTTTCTGGAATTGTCTGACAGTTCTACAACAATGTACTCATACTTCACAGTCAATAATGTTCACCATCCTTGAGAAAGAGGATTTTATTGATATTTTAGTTTAAGAATGAGCTATCATCACAGTATTACATCACAGAGTAGATTTTATTGAAGTATTTCTTTGTAGACACAGTTATCAATGAAAGTGTCTTGCTTTTCTGTTGCAACACTCACGAGATGTTCACTAAAGAAATGTAAATACTTTTTGTAAGTTTGTTTTTTGATTGTTTTATATTTGAAACTTACTCCTTTGTGTGTAACTTTTATTGGTTAAATCTGAAACATGTCATTTTTGTGGAAATTTCAATTGTTTTATTTATTGCTCAGCTATAAAAATATTACCCAGTTATGATTGGTGATGATCGGTGCGGTAGTTTCATCCGAGTTTTGGACGTATACATCACAGGCTCCATTATAATAAGATGTTAACAACGTACTGGGTCTATGTTAACAACATACATTAGGACTGTGTTAACAACGTACATTAGGACTGATGATGACAAAACCTTGTCGAAACGTTGTACATTTGCTGTTATGTTAAACTTATATTAAAGTTTTTCTTCATTACCCATTCAAGCCGTCTCCAACATTATTAGTCTCAAAGTGGGTTTCTCGTCCTCGAATTTGTACTGGGTCAATGTTAACAACGTACATTAGGACTATGTTAACGTACTGGAGCTACGTTAACAATGTGTTAAGGTCATGTTAACAACGTACTGGAGCTGTCTTAACAACATACTGAGGCTGTGTTAACAATGTACTGGGTCAATGTTAACAACGTACATTAGGACTGTGTTAACGTACTGGAGCTACGTTAACAATGTATTAAGATCATGTTAACAACGTACTGGAACTATGTTAACAACGTATTAAGGTCATGTTAACAACGTACTGGGGCTATGTTAACAACGTATTAGGGAAACTCGTGAGAACACAGCTGGTCCTAGAGTACAGGGGCAAGAATTAATGGTGGGCCCCACTGCTACAATGTACATGAAATTATATATACAAAAAAATATATAACCATGTATAATGCATCTGAAACTGAATTTTAGTAATGACCTACCCAGTTTTCAAACATAAAAAATTAAGCAGATATAATAATATCAATGAAAAAGAAAATATAAAATTCTTGTTTAAGTGAGATTAAGTTTTCTTCCACTATCACTGGTTCACTCATCTATAAGGTTTTTGAAACCTCTTGCTTCCTCTCAAGACAACCAAAGAATTGACTCATTGTTGATCGCAAACATGATTTTATTAATTTCAGTTTATTGAAGTAGCATTCAGCACTAGCCACTGTAACTGGCAAGGTTGGGTAAAGTGGGAGATCAACAACAACTTTGGGAAAAACTGCATCATATCCGTAATTAACCAAAAACTTTAATAACTATATGGCTCACATTTCAGAATAGTTATTTTCTTTCAGAACTTATTTTAGAATTTTTAACTCATCTATGATTTCAGGACCAGTGTCTTTAAATTAAAAATCCTTTGCTGCCTGCTCTAAATTTTCATTGGAGCTGTTTTGTTCTATTAAATACTGAAGGAATTTGAAGCCATCCATTATTTTGGGAATATTACTAAATCACTCTTGAAGTTACATCAGTATATTATCAACTAGTGTATTGAAGAATATAATTCTGGAGTGCTGTTCTGGGTCACAAGGAGTTTCAACGTCAGAAAGTTCATCATATTGTCTTTTTCTTCTGTGTAGTCTCTTAGATGGAAAATTAGGGTTGCCACCAACTTCTTCAACAGCTGCCTTTGCTTTGACAGCGTAACGTGATCTCCACGTTCTCCAAGTGGTTTACAACGTATAATGGCGCAAATAATAGTTAGACACAGTTCAAAAGTCAATAAAACAATAAAATTTAAGTACAAATAGATGTATATTGTTACGAGTTGAAAGCTACTTAGGACAAACGAATGTAGTTTCATGTTACAATTTGAAATCATTCTAGAAAGAAAAACGGTAATCTAGATTAGTTTAATTTTTTTTTATTTTGGTGGTTACGAGGTCAGTCAAATTGACCGACCTTGTATAGAGTTAGGATAGAAAAAATAACAGATAAAATATAAGTTTTACTGAATACAAACATTTAAAATATATCTAGGATGCTTTAGAGATTATGCAAATGAAACTTGAGATTTTTGAGACGAAAAAAAGTATTTTTAATCTTAACATAAAAATCACTTTGCACGTGGGCTAGTAAAAAAATACTTAATATATTCAATGACAAATCTTTTTTAATTTATTAAAAATACTTCACTAAAAATATGATTTTTGTGTGTGAAAGACTTATAATGTTTACTGAAAGTCTGCCAAATTTTGTGCAGATATACACATTATATTATAAGTTAGTAGTATCAAACTATAAAGACTAAACGAGTACAAAGAGGTGACGTGGTCGGTCGAATTGACCGACCCTTATTGAGAAAAATGAACTAAACAGGGCCTCATTTGATTGGGGACCGGTTGCCTCGCACCCGTTGCACCCCCCCCCCCCCAAGGGCGGCCCTGTGTGAGAATAATATTAGATCATACGAAATACAGAGCACCAGCTTTATCTGCAAGTTTAAGTAGTGTAAAGAAAATACATCCCTCGTGAACGATCTTTTAGCACCCGTACTTAACCTCTGTGTTTTAGTAGAAGACGTAGCATGTAGTTGATATACTAGTATCAACTTGGTAAAACCCTAGACTTCCAAATATTTCATCACTTATTATTTTCCTTTGGATAGTTCTAGTAATGGAAATGTTGACGTGGATTTTAAATGTTGATACGTTGTCACCTTTTACTATGTTTGTAGTTGCGTTTCTAACAGTGCAGGAAGGAGGTTCTGAAACTTGATATTGTTTGAATTATACGAACTGGCTTTCTATAATACTCTCTAACCAGCTACTTAGCATTTGATGAATATGGGTTTACATTTTCGGAAAAAGCAGTTCATTTCCTTTCTTTTTTCATTTTCCAGAACGTGGAAAAAGAGGCTGCGAGAGAGAAACAGATTGACACAGCACACAATGTGACAGTGTTATTTCGGTATCGAAATTTAAGAAAACATTTTATTTTTCTAACCCTAATCTGGTAAGTTTTGACTTTAGAAAGGACTAATGTGTAATACTTTAAACGTTATTATCTTAAAGGAAAATACAATTAAAACAAGACGATTTTTTCACATAGTATAAGAAACATTAGTAAAATATTTACAACTGGTACGTCATAGCTGTAAATAATAAGCAAATTCAGCTCTGACAAAGCATAAAAATCCAAAGAAAGAGTTAAAGTCGTTGAAGAGAGAACATAATAATATGACACACGTTCGTGTATATCAGAATTCATACAGTTGGATTTCCATTACGAGAACTGATAACTAACAATTTAACATTTAAAAACTTTTAGAATTCAGACAATAGGTTTGTTTTTCTTAAGCACAGAGCTACACAATGAGCACAATCTGTGCACAGAGCTACACAATGAGCACAATCTGTGCTGCGAGTGCCCACCACGGGTATCGAAACCCAGTTTTTAGCGTTATAAACCTTCAGACTAGCCGCATAGGAATTTCGTTGCAATGACTGTTTGCAGGGTTTTTAGTTATTTATCATTTAAATATACTTAGTATTCAGACATTATGAAATTTTTACAATGTGTTTTTTTTTCTAGAATTATTAGTTATTAAATATTTAAAACGTTCAGAGTTCAAAGGTTAAAAATTTTATTTAATAGAGTCTGATTACAAGATCACGGCCTTTATACATCTATTTTTACTTTTGTTTATCATCTGAACAAAGTTTTCCCACAAAAGTTTAACTTATTGAGTTAATCGTATCACATTCAGGTATAATAAATATTATAGTTATTATAGTTGTTATAGTTATTATAGATATTATAGTTGTTATAGTTATTATAGATATTATAGTTGTTATAGTTATTATAGATATTATAATTATTATACTTACTATAGTTATTATAGTTACTATAGTTATTATAGATATTATAGTTATTATAGTTATTATAGATATTATAGTTATTATAGATATTGTAGATATTGTAGATATTATAGTTATTATATATATTATAGTTACTATAGATATTATAGTTGTTATAGTTATTATAGATATTATAGTTATTATAGATATTATAGTTACTATAGTTGTTATAGTTATTATAGATATTATAATTATTATACTTACTATAGTTATTATAGTTACTATAGATATTATAGTTATTATAGATATTGTAGATATTATAGTTATTATAGTTGTTATAGTTATTATAGATATTATAATTATTATAGTTATTATAGATATTATAGTTGTTATAGTTATTATAGTTGTTATAGTTATTATAGATATTATAATTATTATAGTTATTATAGATATTATAGTTGTTATAGTTATTATAGTTGTTATAGTTATTATAGATATTATAATTATTATAGTTATTATAGATATTATAGTTATTATATATATTATAGTTATTATAGATATTATAGTTATTATA